CTAGATTTAGACAGTGTGCTTCAGTCATTCAGATAAAAACAACTTTTCCATTTTGCAGTGCACTTTCCATTTTATCATTTTAATGGTTCATGTGTTTGCCGCTCTGGTAGTATCAGGTAGTTCTGAGCAAAGAACGTAATGTCTGTCTGGTGATTTAGCTTGTATGGCTCAATGTGGCTCCACTCTACGACTACAAAGTTCTCTTTTTATTTTTGCTGTGAAACATGGAGGCCGATTTTAGTTTTAGAGGTTTGATCCTCTTCGTATAATTTTGAACATCCTTTCTAATCACAGCTTTGGTCAAGCTCTCATTTGTTTCTCATGAATCATTTCAGTCAAATAAATCGTACGTCTTCCCTTTCTATCCAAAGTGTGTGGTCACATGTGCACCTGCCTCACAGCTTAGATAAACACTCCTTCCACTCAGTCACCACATTGGGTGTGATTAGACAGATGTGTGAGGAGCTGGTGTGAAAACGATGTGAGGTCGTAGCCACAGTCACGTTTCTCACAAATAAAACACCTGAGCCTGCTGTCAGTGTTCACAGGTGTAACTGAAAGTCCTGTTTCAGATATAACATATGGAGGCTTGCATATATACTCTATATAATGATGATGTAACAGGTAAAGAGTAAGTGCAGCATGTTCATAGTTGATGCAAATTACAGTACAAAGCGTCAAGGCCAGAAGTTCAGTTTCAAACACGCAGGCAGCAAAGAGGCGGAGCCAAAAACGAGGTCGACCACAGCAACACTCGCTTCTGTGATAACAATAAAGGCCTTCAATGAAAGCATTGAGAGAGTTTAATGAGCACACGTGTTCATCTGCATGCATGCAGGTGAACTGCTGCTATTAACTTTGCCTGAGTTTTTGTAGCCGTTGCACGTCACTCAGCTAGAGCTCAGTGAAAATATACGAGGGTCGAGCAAAACCGATCTGTTGGACATTTGCAAAGATGTAGACATAAATGGACTTTTAACCCTCTGGAGTCGACGGATGCGCCGGCGTGTCCAGATCACGTAACAGATTTAAGATTATGTATCAACAAGACCCAGCCTCACAGAGACTCTGTTTAAACACGTGTTGAAAGTGCAGACTTCAAACTATGTACCAGTTTTTACATTTTGTTGATAAACCAGACTTACGATAAATAATTTACACTCGGCTTTTTCCTGAAAACTGTCCCATTTGGTGCAGGAAGAAGCTGTATAACAGAGTTTTCTAAGGATAGCCTCTTTACTATTGGTGAAAAATGCATCAACTGATCAGAAAATTACATGCCTACACCAGCAAGTGGTTGCTGAGGAAGAGGGGAAAATTGTGGGAATGATAGCGGTGAAAGGGAGAGTTTTGTGACATTTAATTGTTTGCAGTGTGTAGTCGGTGTGTAGTGTAGACTTTTTAAAATTTGTTTTGTGTGTCAAAACAATGCGGCGACTGCTGAATGTCACAGACTCTGGCCAGAAAGCCACTGGAGACGGATTGAAATGTAAACGCTGTCTCCAGGTGGACATCAGGAGTAGATGCATCCTGGAGGTGTCAGGCCTGCAATGTGCCCCTCTATCTTGTCATGGACGGGAACTATTTTTTTGGGGGGTAGTGCAAATAATATGTGTGGAATCTTATTTCGACGCCTTGTTTTAGAGCTGTGCGATATGACCAAAATCTCATATCCCAATATAAAACATTTATCGTCCCGACAACGATATATATCACAAACATTTGACATTTTCTGTAAATTCTGTGAATCTCGGGCAAGTCGACTTGCGTGACGTGTTTTCAGCTGGGCGTTGTGTACCTGGAGTCGAGTGTTAAATAATTTGAAACTGCCGCAACTTTCTTTGTGAGTATTTGTTACACGGCGTGCTGCTGCGGGGAAAAGCTCGTTCTAAGGTTTATTTTCTAGCACCTGACGGCTTTTTTTAGCTTCTCGCCCGTAAATACTCTACACACTATTTCACTTGATTCAGTTTATTTTGAAAAATCTCAACAGAATCTTCAGCTTTATTTTGAAAAGTTTATGTGGAAAATAAACAAGCGGATGGCGGAGCCAAGCGATGGTTTTGCCGTCGATGTTGCTAACGACAACGCATAAAAACAGTCGCTTGTCCGTCCGTAGTGTGGTTATTTTAAATATAAGACAAAGATAGAAGTTTAAGAAATTCTACAGTGACCATCAAAACAGTTTATTTTGCGACACCACGAAACAAACAATAGCATAATATGAACCGACAGACGTTTTCATATCGTCATCCGATATATATCGTTATGTCAAACAGCCTGATCGTTTTGTAAGTAGTTGAAAGAACTGACTGAATTTGAATGTAAATTGTTGTAGTTAACTTTAGCTAACCGTTAGCTAGGTTTGTACATATATTTGAAGTTTACATTTTATATTTGCATTTCAAGTCATGTTTAGTTCACTAAACATGTTTGTGGTTTTCACAGTAAAAATAAATAAATCCAATAGATATTTAGTTTTTTGTGCCATTTTCGGTCCGTTGTGTTAATACAGTCTGTTGAAATAGTCCAAAGTCTCACACACAGCAAGGTAAATGGGTTTATAGGTTAAATATGAAGATAAAATCAAAAGTATTTCTACCCTTGACCCCTGAGGGTTAACGTGTTGTGATTTACGTACCATCACACCTCATATTCACATAAACATTGCTGTGTTTCTGTGCTCCCACAGCGGCGGCGGCGGCAGCTAAAGGTATATCTGAAGTGGACACACCTCCAGTGTCACAGAATGGCGCCCCAGTCAATAAAAAGACATTGGCACAACTGCCGGAGCTCGAATATAGAGAAAAAGGGAAAGAGGGACGAGGGGAAGCTAAAAAACAGCATAACAGCATCCTGCCGTCATCAGTGGACTCTAAACTCCAGGAGATGGAGTATATGGAGAACCATATGAATAACAAGAGACTGAACACAGAGCTGGGCAGTACAGAGAACCTGCTCCTTAAAGAGGACAACAATTCCTCCTCCTCTTCTTCTTCCTCATCGTCGTCCTCCAAAAATTGCAAAAATGCCAGCAGCAACACTGCGGCGCTTAACTCCTCGCCCCGCGGCCACAGCACCACCAACGGCAGCGTCCCCACGCCCACGTCGTCGTTCGTGGGGAAGAACGAGAAGAAGCACAAGCTACTGGTGAAAGGAACGTCGGGCGGCTCCCACAGGGACCCCACCGACAACTGCATCCCCAACAACCAGCTCAGCAAGCCGGAAGCACTGGTTCGGTAAGAAGACACGGACACGGTTTATATTCATAAATAATCTGAACTCATCAGCGATATCAGGAGTGAAGCTTCTTTTAAGGATTTCGCCCGACACTGAGGGGAAACGGTTTATGGGGTTTATTTCAGCAGAGTTCAGTTTTAGCCTCCAGAACATTAATCAGAGAAAGATGTCTTGTAAAAAGTTGAGCAACTAACTGATTTTTATCTCCAGAGGCAGAACTGTGATCGAAGTGCCGAGCTCGAACTTTAATTTAAGGGATTTAAAAAAGCATCAAATTAACTGTTTACAGATTATTAACATTTGTGTACATATGCAGTAACTTCCTGCTTGTTTCATTTAGCTTTCACTGAGATGGTGTACAGAAGAAAACTTTATTTTACCAGTTATTCACAGACCTGACTATATTTTATTTATTTATTTATTTTTTGCTTGTTTTGTATAATTTTTAAAATGATTTTTACTGGTTTGCTGATATTAACACATCTCCCAGTGATCCTTGGTTTCATGTAAAATAGTTTGAAAATGGCAAGAATTTTTTTCGCGATGATTACGAGTTAAGGCCACTTTTCAAAGCGTTGCACGTTTGTTGAACTGTCCTGTTCTTTTCTCCTCATCAGACATCTGACCCTCGTTTTATTCTTCCCGCTGACCAAAAGAAACTCGCCTTCTTCATTCACTTAGGAGGAGAGTCAGAGGTTTTAGAGAGAAGTTCCCTTGTGTAAAGGAATGAGAAAAATAAAAGCCACAGATAGAGGGCAGGGTTTCTCAAATGTTTATTTTCCTCAATCATCTTGATTTTATTATTGCTGTGGCTTTAACTGTACCTGAATTTAAATGTTGCTGTGCTTCTCAAACTTTGATTTTTGTTGTGTTTCCTTCTCGTGACCTCTGTGTGTTTCTCACCTCTTGTCATGCTCCTGCCCGGGACAGACTGGAGCAGGATGTCAAGAAGCTGAAGGCGGACCTGCAGGCCAGCCGGCAGGTGGAGCAGGACCTGCGCAGCCAGATCGGCTCGCTGGGCAGCGCCGAGCGTTCGATACGCACCGAGCTGGGCCAACTGCGGCAGGAGAACGAACTGCTGCAGAACAAGTGAGTGCTGCTGCTGTCATCATGGAGGAGAGTTAAAAACAAACAAACATAAAGAAAACAACTGGGTGAAGGAGGGCGGTGGGGGTTTGCATCGAGAACTTTTAGGTTTTGTCTAATAAAATAATAATAATAATAAAAGTAAATAAAAATCTACAGTAAATGTTTGGTAGGGTTGCCTCTGTTGAGGTTTGCCTTCTGTGGTGAAATCTCACAAAATTTCAACAACCACCAAACAGCTAAGACAGTAAATGAGAGCAGGAACACGGATTCTGCACAAAGACTTAAACACACAGCGCGACCTGCGGATCAGAATCAGTGAGATGTCGCCTTTCTCACAGTCGGGGCTGAAAGCCGACAGCTCGCTGATTCTGATCTGTCGGCGGGTCCGCGCTTTGTGTTCACGCCCTTTTTGCGCTGATTCTAAAGCTGTTAGTTTTATCTCTCTCCAAACAATATTAACGCTTCACATAAACATCGTCATGTATTCACTCTGACTTTTACTGTTTTGCTTCGACCAAGATGCACAGCTCTCTCTCTCTCTCTGTACTTCAAGAACAGTTTCCCTTCTAAAAATCTGTTTTCTTCACGTTTTCTTTTTTCGTTTTATATACTTCCGAAAAGAAAACCTAATTTCTGCCGTTCAATACTGAACAAATTTAAACTTTTTAAAGTTATACAAAATGCAAAACGCTTAGCTGTGTCTCTAATAAAACCGTTGTAACTTCAGAGGCAATGTTCATGTGTTGATTAATGGTTTTCTTTCATTTTTGATGTACTGGAGAATATTTCTATAAAATCCCAGGCCAGGAAAATCGCCTTGATGTTTTTCTGTGTTTTATCTTTAGCTACTTTGACACAAAAACATTTGCTGTGATGCTCACACCTTTGATAAAGATCTGAATTATAATATTTCTGACTGTCAAAATTTCCCAGATTCAAATCAAATTGAATCGAATCGAATCGTGGATTGAATCGATTCGGGACCTTGTGAATCGGAATTGAATCGATTCTAGAAATCAGTGACGATACCCAGCCCTATAGAGCAGCTCATCTACTGATCGGAAGGCTCGTGGTTCCTGGCTTCCCCCAGTCTGCATGCCAAATATCTTCGGGCAAGATACTAACCCCAAATTGCTCTCCGATGCTTCCATCGGAGTATGAATGTGTGTGTGAATGTTAGTTAGAAAGCACTGAGAAAATGCACTTTTATTAATGGATGAATGCACAAGTTGTGTAAAGCGCTTTGAGTGCTCAGAAGTGTAGAAAAGCGCTATATAAGAACCAGTCCATTTACCATTTACCTTAGCACAACAGGAAGCGAGACCCTAACAAGCTGCTCTGTGGCTTTTGTGCTCCTGTAGGCTCCATAATGCCGTGCAGGCAAAGCAGAAGGACAAACAGACAGTGGGCCAACTGGAGAAGAGGCTCAAAGCGGAGCAGGAGGCCCGAGCTGCCGCCGAGAAGCAGCTCTCAGAGGAGAAGAAGAGAAAGAAGTTAGAGGAGGCCACAGCAGCCAGAGCGGTAGCACTAGCAGCAGCATCCAGGTGTGTACACATCTGGCTCACCAGCTCTGTTACTTGTGGTTTGTTGTGGGCCTCGAGGGTCATTCACCATTCTTTGTGTTTCCCATTGTTCTCAGAGGGGAGTGCACAGACACGCTGCGGCGGCGGATCACTGAATTAGAAACAGAGTGCAAGAAATTAACAATGGACATCAAGCTAAAGGAGGACCAGATCCGAGAGCTTGAGTTAAAAGTTCAGGTACGGGTTTGAGAAATTCACTGTTTGGTTTGACGTATGAGTCCGTCAGAGGTTTGGGGCTTTTCACATGCTTCTTTTTACAGTCTTGTGTGCACGGCCACTTCTGCTTTGGGTCTGGTAGCAGCCATCAGTGAAAAGTGCGACAGGAAA